AATTACCATTAAAACGTCCCAAACTGCTCAAACCATTTATCATTAAGAATAGAACCGAAAATTACTAAAAATAAATTCTATTTGTGACGTTAAAAAATAAATTTTGGCATTAAGTATATTTGAGAGTTATGGATAAGAAATTCAAATAGATTATGTTCTACTGATTCCGTGGATATAAATAATGTCCAAAACACAGATCGTATGAGAAAGTTACGTCTCTTTAAAGTATTAAAAATCAGTATTTATCTGATTTTCCTTAAACGAACAATGTACTGTTTCGTTTGGAATAGCTACGAACCTCGTAAACCGCTTTTGAGCACGTTTTTGAACTCAGACTACGTTCTATTATTTTATTATATTTTTATCACATTTTTAATCTCGACCAAAATCAGATTCGTAAAATATGTCGAACGAATTAATCGTAAAACTTTAAACGGATTTTCCCGGAGTTCTACTTATCGGACTTAAGATCCGTCTGACTTTTTGGGAACCTTATAACCGAGATTATCACTCGTCACTTTCAAAAAATTGTTTAATATCAGGATCGAGGGCACACAGATCTAGAAAGTTAGAAAATATCACCATTTTAGATATTCCAAATATAACATTATACTTTTGGCACTTTGAGTCGAGCATAATTGAATTTAAATTTCCAGCAATATGACTATAACCTCTACATCATAACATCTACACTCACATTTTCTATCATTTCTTTTTCAATAATAAGTGCAAGTACAAAAATAATCAAATCAAATACACCAATATATACACATGATTACAAAGACCAAAGAATTTGTTTGTGTTGTCCACTCAAATGTACATCAATTATGAAAGCATGGAAGAACATTGCTTCTAATAATTAACTAAAAGTACATATAATTGAGCTGAAAATCACAGCTTTAACAAAGCTTCACTCAAGCTATTGATGAATCCATTTTCTCACCTCAAACATTAGCTTTCTTCCGTCTTTTCTGCTGGGATCGATTGCTATAAAGAACATCACCAGAAGTGGTGATTTCCGGCTAATAAAAAAGCATCAGCCTCTCCCTTTTCTTCTTCTATTTTTCGGTCAAGTGAAACAGCCAAACACCCCTTGAGGGAGGTTACCGTCGAGACCAAGAGGGGCAACAGCCTCTTTGTTCTTTCTTGTGCATTACATGTCGATTGAAACAACCCAAACACTTCTCTGATTTACAAATCTCCTCCCATCCTCTTTTTCTTCATTTTCAGTTAAAGAAACCCAACCGGAGATGGAGCTTCTTCCGGTGAATCAAGGGAGCAGCAGCCCTCGCATCCTTCCCCTTCGCACACACTACCAGAGTAGAAGAAGATTATCCTTGCTGCATTCGTTCTATTCCTCTTTCGGTCCAAACAATCTTCTCCCTCTACGAACCAGTTAGGCACCGGAGGTGCATCTCCCTTCCTGCCTTCGTTCGTTCTTCCGTCCCATCGATCAGCCAAGAAACGGATCCCCCTCCTCCTTGCGATTGAAATACCCCACAGAGCCACCTGAGTTGCCTCCGATTTCCTTTTCCCTTCGCTCGACGGATGAGCCACCGGAGGCATACATTGTGTCGTTTGCGTTTCTTCTTCGCGTCTGTTCTTTCTTTTGATCGATTGGGCAAGAGATGAGGGCACAAAAGCCATAAACACTTTTTTTTATAATAAATAACCACATTAGCCCCTACAAATGTTAAGTGATACCAAAATAACCTCCATTTGAAAAGATTGATCAAAACTAGTTACCTGTGGTTAATGAATTTACTAAGAAACCCTCCATTTGTTAAATTATTTCCCAAAACAGCCCTACATTTGCTAAAATACACCAAAGCCCTATCTCATTTGTTTTGATTAACCAAAACTATCATTTTTGGTTAACTAAATTACAAATCAAACCTGGTTCTCTTTTACTTTAATCAAAATAGTCACGATGGTTTATTCTAAATTCAAGAAGGTGTAAAATACGGTTTCTCACGACAAGCTTCACAAAATGAACCTAGATCGAGATCACGCATTGAATGTGAGTTTCTACAGCCCCGCTTTTACAATTTTAATATTTGGGGGAGAATACATGAGTTTCTATTAAAGTTTTGATGATTTCCAAGTTTTATACACAAAATAACATCATACTTTATAATTGGTCAAAAGTTTATGAAATAACAATTCAAATTGTATAAATCATCAATAAATCATATTAGTTATAGTAGAATGCTATAAATGATATAATTATACCTTGTGGTGATATATAAATTAATATTAATAGAAATCACAAGATTTTAAGTAGATTACTATAAAGATAAGTTATTGGACGAATTGTAAATTGTAATACTCGTTGTATA